CACACAGGCTAGGACGACCCAGGGAAGGGCGGCTAAGACCTGACCACGGGCAGCGATGCCCCCTGACGGGAGACACTGCACAGAGGGCATGGAAGGCTGCTGGCCCCGGACCCTGCCAAGGCCTCCCTTAGATGTCTTCCCAGCTTCAGACACCCCAAGTCTGCACCCTAGAGTCTGCCCTCTCTCGGAGCCACTTCCAAGTTAATTTCTACAGGCAGAAGCAAAACTGTAGTCTAAGTGGTGACAGTGAACAGATACCCAACAGTCTGTCCCTCAGAACACAGTTGCCACTCGAACGCCAATGTGGTGACAAGAGAAAGGACAGACTAGTAAACGGTGATACAATAAAAGCTGTCCCTGACTTTAGGATGGCTTCCAACCTAAGGTCCTCTTGTCTAAGTCTTCTCAACAGCTGGGACAGACAGGCATGAGCCACCATGCTCCGCTCTATGTGTCCCTGGGTTTAGGGGACCAAAACTGGTATTTGTCTCTCGACAGGCATAGAGAACATAGAAGTGTCCTTGAAAGCATTCTCCAGTGTAGTACTTCCTCAGCGTGCTTGTCCACATTTTCTACTCTGGCAGATTCCCAGGCTACCTCAGAAACCAACTCCCTCTACTGCAGGTGCTGAGACAGAACCATTTCTGAGCAGCCCAGAGCTTGGGCCACTCCTGGACACATTTCTGGGAGCCCAGTCTAGTCAGCTGCCATGGTGGGCAGGGAGAATCATGCCCCTTCGGAATTGAGGAGAGGAAAATTAGTTTGATTATTACATTGGTTAAGAAGGTCCGGCAGGAAGACAATCTTACCCACAGGCCATGCCAATGTCATAAGACCCATTTCTGATGCCACCTGTAACAAAAGCACTTCATAACCATCCTTGGCCAGAGTGGGCCTGGCCTGGATCAGCACAGCCCGTTCCCTCCCTGCTCTTGGGGGACATTCACCAAAGCCTCACAGAAGACCCAGGAGCACCCAAAAAGGCTTGGGGTGTGACAATGGGTGCTCCTCCACTCCTCTCTGCCTAGAGTCCCTAGGGTCAAGAACCAAGGTCAGAGCCAGTGGTGGTGGCGCACACCTTTAATCCCAGCACTCAGGCAGAGGCAGGTGGATCTCTGAGTTCCGGGACAGCCTGGTCTACATAGTGAGTTCCAGGACAGCCAGGACTACACAGAGAAACTCTGTCTCGAAAAACACCCCAAAACAAAACAAACAAAAAAGGAACCAAGGTCAGGGCATGCTCATGGGCACCTGGCAGTCACAACTCACCAGCGATGTTGGCCACTGCCTGCAGGCCCGATGAACACTGTCTGTTGACAGTAGACAAAGGTACAGTCTCTGGAATGTCACTGAAACAGAAGGGAGATGGCAGTCAGCCCTGGATGTGCTGCAGCTCCTAGACAGCAGGCCCCATGAGGCCCATAGTAGTGTGTATAGACCAGAGGGATAACAGCTGGCCTTGTCCCCACTAGAGTAGATATATATAAAGGAAGGGTCAAGGACTGGGCAGACCCTGCCACTACAGCCACTTGCCACCAGGGTCCCCAAGCACATGCCCTGCTACTGTGGCAGGGGAAGCTTGTTTGGGCCACAGGCATTCTTCTTCAACTTTGAAGACGTGACAGAGAAAAGTAGACATCGCTTTTGCCCACACAAAGACTGGCCATCAGCCTAAGAGCTAGGTCTCACAGACAAGGCCTCCAACCATCTCCGCCCCCTGGCCTCACCAGTACGCACCCGTGTATCCTGTGTGCCTTCTCTGAGCATCTGCTCTTGCCCGGGTGAAGAGTGTTTCTGGCATGTTTGTTCTTGTGTTCTTAGTGTGATACTGGGCTCAGCTCTGGGAGCTACCTGGGCTGTCCCTCCAGGTAGATAACCCGTCTTGTCCAACAGTACAAAGAAAGCCTCAGCTGGGCAGTGGTGGCACATGCCTTTAGTCCCAGCACTCAGGAGGCAAGGCCATGTGGATCTCTGTGAGTTTCAGGCCAGCCTGGTCTACAGAGCAAGATCCAGGACAGGCGCCAAAACTACACAGAGAAACCCTGTCTCAAAAAACAAAAAAGGAAGAAAGAAAGAAAGAAAGAAAGAAAGAAAGAAAGAAAAAAGGAAGAAAAGCCTTATTTCTAGTGCCTCCTTAGACAAATTCAGGAAGTCCCTTGAGACTCTTGCTAATTCAGCTGTACAGTCAGGCTTGGAAACTCTCAGGCTGGGCTCTCAGTGACAGCTTTTCAGGCTTGATACACTCTTAGTGCCAAACTACCCATCCATCAAGCCCTTCCCCCAAGTCACCAAGTTTTCATCCAACAAGTACTGAGCACAAGGTACTGTGTTAAGGAGGCTAAGACACCAACAGTACTGTACCCCAGAGGATGCCCAATCCATATGCAGAAAATTAATCCACTGTCAGAGATGGAAAGAACAGGGTCAGTTGGCAAAGCCGTAGCACAGGGAGGCACTTAGCAACCCACTGGACAGGAAGGTCAGTGTCTGACACACTCGAGAGCCAGTCTCCAAAGATGTTTGGGCAGGGATTGGCTAGAGCAAGGCGAGTGGGGAGAGAGCTCTCCATGGGGACAGACAGATGGACAGAGGCAGACAGGAGGAGGAAGCAGGGAAGAGATGAGGATGGAAAGTTACGGGGGTTGGGGGTGGGGAGGTATACCTTCGACCCCAGGCTAAGTCTGACCCCCTCTTAGATCCTACAGGTTCTGTTTTTTTCCCTGTTCTGACACTGGCCAGTATTGCTATTATGTCTCATCTAACTGAGGGAGGAAGGTCTTCAATCTACACGTGGAAGTAATTGAACTACTGCTTTTCCAACCGGAAGATGACCAGGGCTCCTCTTGACTCCTTCCTCCTGGCTTCCCCCTCCCCGCCCCTACTCTCAAGCTTCTCATAATGGACTGAGCCTGGAGTTCTCAGGCAGCTCAAGTAAGCAGAAGCAAAGTCATGGACCAACATGGTTGTATGATTATTTACCTGACATGTGAGGACAGAGTCCATGAGTCCAAAGGGTAAGCAACAAGTTGGCCACCTTTGCCCCACTCCCAAAGCTCTGGGTGTTCGGGCTCTGGGCCAGGTAACACACCGTTCAAGGTAGAAGAAAACTTGGGTCCAAGAACTCTGGTTGATTTGATATCGAGTGTCCAACCTGATAACCTGTCACCTACAGACTGGTCAATGGTGCTGGAATCCCCACCAGAGGTTAAAGGATTACCTCAGAAATTGGGCGATGCGTGCCATGACGGCCCCAGCTCCGGGCTGAAGCACATTGCCTGTGGATAGAGACCTTATTCAGTGCCAAGCTTTGCACACTAACTTTCAGCTGTGACTCCCAAAGAGGAGATATTCCAGATGTCTTCAGGATTTTCCCAGGCTCATTTGTAACTGTAGAAGTTCAGAGTCTGAGAAATGAGAAGCCAGCTACCAACCTCCTGTCATATACCAGCCCGGTGCTGGAGGGCCACCAGCGTGCCTGCCAAGGCATGCGCCTCTAAATCAGCACAGCTGGGTGGGAGGCCCGCTTGCCTGGCAACAGGAGAGCCTCTAGGGTAAGAGGCGCACAGTGCAAAGCCTAAAAGCTGAGGGAAGTAGGGCTGTGGGTGAGGGAAGAGAGTCTGTAAGCCTCCTCAAGTGTCCTCCTCCAGGCCCTGTGTCACTGGGTGAGGAAGAACAGGCTGGCACCCCGCAGGAAACCCTGTCCTACACTGTTCTAGTTCAGGGAAGAGCAGGGGTTAGGGCAGGGTGAACCCCGTCTACACCTGTAACCGAACCGGGGCTGGACCAGATGATTCTGATAGACAGGATGACAGTGTAGGTGGAGAACCGTGGCCTCCCACCTCCTGGAGTCTCCAGGAACATCTGAGCTTTAGAGCAGTGGTTCTCAACCTTCCTAAGGCTGCGACACTTTAATACAGTTCCTCATGTTGTGGTGACCCCCAACTATAAAATTATTTCGTTGCTACTTCATAGTTGTAGTTTTGCTATTGTTACGAATCGTAATGTAAATATCTGTGTTTTCCGATGGTCTTGAGACCACTGTGAAAAAGCCGTTTGACCCTCCGAAAGGTTGTGACCCACAAGTTGAGAACCAATGATTTAAAGTCTGCACCACAGGGCATCCCTGCTTTCCACCTCCACTCCGCTGCCTGATACACCTGGAGGTAGAGCATAGGCCATCAAGGAATCATCCCACTGAAATTAGTGGACCCTGTCAAGTCTCGCTCTGTGAAACCCAAGTTCGCGGTGAGAAGGGGAGACCTCGGGAAGGAGGGGAGGGAGGGCCCAGAGCAGGCCCGGCAGGTGAGCTCACCCACGGAGATGTCGCCCAGCTGCTCAGGCTTTAGTTTCACGTCCTGGAGAACCGCGGTCAACACGGCCGACAGAAGCTCGTCCGGGGTGGTGTCCTGCAGGGCGAAGCGCAGCGGCGGTGAGCCAGCCCCGCTCCTGCATCCCCACCCAGGGGACTGTGCGGTCACCTCACCCAGAGGGCAGGATCCCACCCGCACTGGCCGCCTCCTGCGCCCCCCGCCCACCGGAGGGACCTCACCTTGAAGCCGCCGCGGCCGGCACGGCCGATGGGGGTGCGCCGTCCGTGCACCACCACCACGTCGGAGGCCGAGGCCCGCGGGAAGCCAGCGGAGCAGGGAGCGGCTTGCAGCGCGGAGCTCGAGTCTGGCCTGCCGGCCAGGTGGCCCAGCACTACCTGCAGCCGATGCATCGTGGAGGTGGGTCCGGAGGATTTGCCTGGGCGCTGGGTACAGAGATCTACGACTGAAAAACGATCCCCCGGCGCAAGCGCAGGACAGTCTCTACCAAGAGAGGCCTAAAAGTTGATCACCAGCCGGGTAGAATAATATCGCGAGTGGGGGGTGGGGTTCATAAGGGACCCGCCCACTCCTAGACACAACCAACTAGGTTAAGGGGCGTCTGATTGAGGGCACGCCCCCAGCTACCCACCTCGCCCTAAAGCCCCTCCCAAGGCTCGTCCCGAGACGATCTTTCCACTAAAAGCCCCGCCCGCCAATCCTACGGAGACCAATCAGAATGTGCACCCTTAAGTCTCGCCCAGAAACGCGGACTGGAAGCTTAAGTTTGCGCAACCTTTTGCAGACACACGGGAAAGAGGCACCCCAAACTTTGCGTTTCCTAAAATGAACTCAGACTCAAGGGAGCCCCTCCTCCAAAGTCTTGAGCTCAGCGCGCAGCAGCACGAAAGGCGGAGCACGGCTCACGGCTTCTTCCTTTACTGGGCGAGCTAGAAAAAACACTCCGGTCTCCCATCAAAATTTGCTCTGCTGGGTCCCAGGTCCCAAAACTCAGGGCCGAGGACCTAGATAACGTTGGGGCGCCTAGTTCGGCCCCAACGGGGTTGGACTGTCACAGAAGCCCTCTCAGAAAAGAAAGCAATTTTTGTTTCCTGGTTGGTATGGAAAACTGATTTTACAAATGTGCTGAATGGCAGCCAGGTTCTAACTGTAGCATGTCCCACACGTCTTAAGCCTGTTTTACGTCTGTTTGGGATGATGTCATTAGTGTCCACAATCTCCTAGGATTTGTACTAAGGCGGGGAGGGATGTAGACCCTGCCTCGGAGATTGACACCTAAGTAGATTAACTAAACAAATTAACGAAAACAAGTTTCCCTGGGTCTAGACTGTAAGTAAGGTGGTAGGTCCGCGTGTTTTTTTGCAGACCCCAGAGGGTAGAACTGAGTTTGCCTCAGATACCAAAGGACAGAATGCCCTCAATGCCAACTTGCGGGTAGGGTTGTGGCCTTCCCCTTTAAAAGGCAGTCACTACTTGCACCAGATGGCTGAGGGCAGATTGAGGCTTCACTTTGCCACTTCCGAAGCCACAGTCTGTCTTTTCCCTCCCCATTACCAGAATACAGGTTACTGTGCATAAGGGCTGTAACTCCTTCACGTCCTAAGCAAGGCTAATTCACCTCACCATGCACCACTACCAGATCTCCCAGGACAGGTCAGTGGATCAAGACAGATGCCAAAGGCCTTTTTTTAGGTTCTCACAACTTCAAGGGGAGACGAGCAAAGACGAGAAACATAAGTGGGGTGAAGTTCAGGCCCTGTGTTCAGGTGTTCATACAAACACTCCGAGGGTAGTGGCGGGACACCCCAGCTGCGCTCCTGTTCTCGAGACTCCAGATTCTAGCAAAGGGCGGAGCTTCTCGGAAAAAGAGAGAAGGCGGGGCTGACAGGAGCCCTAGGGGAAGTAGGAAGGAAGCTCGCCTGGCCAGCGGACATCACCAAGGCTCAGGTTGGCTCGCCATGTCTGCTGAAGGCCCCCGAGTGGGATCCATGTGCCTGGACTCCTCCAAATCCTCCCTACCCTTGGCCGCGCTCAACGTGCGAGTGCGGCGCCGTCTCTCGCTGTTTTTGAACGTGCGGACGCCGGTGGCGGCCGACTGGACCTCGCTGGCAGAGGAGATGGGCTTCGAGTACTTGGAGATCCGACAGCTGGAGACGCGCCCAGACCCCACCGGCAGTTTGTTGGATGCTTGGCAGGGGCGCTCTGGCGCGACGGTCGGCAAGCTGTTAGAGATGCTGGCCATGCTGGACCGTGAGGATATACTTCGGGAGCTGTGGTCCAGCATCGGTGAGGACGCCTGCTTTCTGGCTTTGTGCCAATGGTCGTCGAGGAGGCTGGCCTTGGCATATCAATCTTGTTTCATTTTTCTGGGGTGTGCTGGGGAGGGAGGGAGAGACGGTCGAGAATGTTCTATCAATATGCAGGACAGCGTAGGGTTGGGGAGAGGGCTCAAAAACCCTGAGATAGGGAAAGGATGTGGAATGAGTCCAGGCAACCTTGAGTTGGACTAAGAATCAAGATCTGCTTCTCTGGGAGTATCCCAGTTGTGTCAGGAGCAACAGAACAGGTGAAAGACTAAAGCCCCTTCTGGCATTCAACACAACGCCCCTGCCCACAGTTAGGTATACCATGCTAGGGGGGGGCATCACCCTCACTGAGCACTAACCCGGTGTCTGAGCCCTTCTGGCATTCAAGGCCCTGCTCCCACTACCCTGCTCCCTGCAAGATGCCCAATTTGGAGTCATTCTCAAGAGCCTTAGAAAGGGTATGCAGGATGAAGTGTGAGAGGCAGATGCCAGCCAGACTTTGGTGGCCTTCCAGATGCCCACTCTGGGAGAGTCAGAAAGGGAGTGCCAGTTTGTCGGAGCTGTCCATGGCACCAGTGGCTAAAGAAGGCCCAGAGCCCAAGTAGGCTAATGGAACAGATACAGGGTATAGATGCAGAGTGTTTACAGCAGCCTGGGGCAACTGGGGAGCCTTCTACACCCTGTCTCTTCTCCACAGATGATGACTGCGAGAAATACATAGTGAGGCAGCAGATGCAGGAGTCTGAGAAGCCCTTACAGGTGGCCAGAGTGGAAAGCAGTGTCCCACAAACAAAGGAGCTGGAGGGCATCACCACTCTTGACGACCCCCTGGGTAAGGGCCCAGTGTCGTTCCTATCCCCTGGATAGGATAGGTGGGCCACAGCCCCAGGATGTGTGGTGTGCAGAGCATGCATATTGGAACACAGATGGATAGACCTGGGATCTTGAGCAAGTCACTCATTCTTTCTGAGTCTTGGTTTCCCCATCCAAGAAATGGGGATAATAGCAGTCCTATCTCTGAGGGCTTCTGAGACTATAACGGCACGCCTCTAACACGGTTAACTCAGATTTCATCTGGGAGTTATCTTTTCTGGTGGGAAGGGCATATGTAAGACATCACTTTGGGATGGGTGCAGGCCCAGGTTCCCTTGATGGATGACTCCAGGCTGGGCTCCTTCCAGCCTTCCCTCAGAAAGCTGACCATTACCCTTGTCCCTTGTCCTCAGGACAAACACCAGAACGGTTCGATGCCTTCATCTGCTACTGCCCCAGTGATATTGAGTTTGTGCAGGAGATGATCAGGCAGCTAGAACAGACAGACTATCGGCTGAAGTTGTGTGTGTCCGACCGTGATGTCCTGCCAGGCACCTGTGTCTGGTCCATTGCCAGTGAGCTCATTGAGAAAAGGTTGGTTAGTCATCCAAAGGGGCAGGTGGGTGAGTGCATAAAACTCAGCTCTACGCTGGGCGGTGGTGGCACATGCCTTTAATCCCAGCACTTGGGAGGCAGAGGCAGGCGGATCTCTGTGAGTTCGAGGCCAGCCTGGTCTACAAAGTGAGTTCCAGGAAAGGCGCAAAGCTACACAGAGAAACCCTGTCTCGAAAAACCAAAAAAGAACCAAACAACCTCAGCTCTGCACTGGGTAGCCCTGGTACCGTGGGCCTCCCTGAGGCTCTCCTCTAGAGGTGAGCTGAAGGAAGTCATCCCAATGCCTGCACTCTGCCACTCTCCCTTAGGTGTCGCCGGATGGTGGTGGTTGTTTCTGACGATTACCTACAGAGCAGGGAATGTGACTTCCAGACCAAGTTTGCTCTCAGCCTCTCTCCAGGTAAGCTAAGACCTGCTTTGGTTAGAGAGGGGAGGAGAGGGATAGCCTTAAGATTTCCAGACCAATAATGCAGGACCAAAGCCTGCCAGATCTCTGAGTGGGTGTACCTGTGAGCTTCTTTATGAAGTGGATATGTACCATGGATACCTAGCTGGTAGAGAGCTGGTGTTGTCCCTTGCTTTGGAGACTGGGTCTGGCCCACCATAGGGCAGGGGCCTGGTCCCGATAGCACACCCTTTGGCTTCCAGGTGTCCAACAGAAGCGGCTGATTCCCATCAAATACAAGGCGATGAAGAAGGACTTCCCCAGTATCCTACGGTTCATCACTATCTGCGACTATACCAACCCATGCACCAAGTCCTGGTTCTGGACCCGCCTTGCCAAGGCTTTGTCCCTGCCCTGAAGATGGCCCTGGGAGCCCTAGGTCTGTCAGTCTGCCCTTGCTCTTGTGCTTGCCTCCTCTGACATTGTAAGAGGGAATTTGTGGTCCACTCAGCCTTGGAGGTTCTAGCTCTACAGATGCTTCTCCAGCAGCCAAAACCCATCTGGACACTGCCCCTCAAGTCCTGGATGGAACGAGTGACTGCAAGTAACTTTGTTACTTGCTGGGTTGTCAGCCAGTACAGCGATTACCAGGGACCAGCTGAGCTACAGCCGAGCCATCTTTGGTCTCAGTTTCTCCACCTGAGAAACAGGATATGGAGATCAGGCAGGAACATGGCGAGGCATTGCTCTGGCTGAAGGAGAGCTGGCTGTGGGACCAGAGCCTTGCCAGGACGACTGCTTCCCCCATTTGTCTCACATTCCTGTTCCTCCTTTTTTTTTTTTTTTTTTTTTTTTTTGGTTTTTCAAGACAGGGTTTCTCTGTGTAGCTTTGCGCCTTTCCTGGAACTCACTTGGCAGTCCAGGCTGGCTTCGAACTCACAGAGATCCACCTGCCTCTGCCTCCCGAGTGCTGGGATTAAAGGCGTGAGCCACCACCGCCCGGCCTGTTCCTCCTTTTGCAGGGCAATGGGGAGCTGAGCTGACTTTGACCCGATTCTCTGAAACTATCCTCTTTGCATCTTTGACCCCCTCAGCCTCAATCCCATGTTCTGTGGTCACTAGTCTGGGTAACTGGGACTGCTTTTCCCTCCCACGTAGCCATGCCTGTGCACATATCTCAGCTTCACTTTGCTTGAAGTGGGATCCTGTCCTCTGGCATGCCTATCATTTATAGTGGCCCCAGCAGGGCCCCCAGGACTATGTCATCAGGGAACCTTCCTCCTTGGCCCACCAACACAGAGACTTTCTCCAGCTTTCTGCACTTTGATTACTTACTTTGTTAACAAGCAGCGAACATACAGAAACATCCTTTCTCTAGTACTTGGAGGTATGTGGCCCCATGGAGTCCTATTCATTAGATAAGTGTAAATGTACACGTGCTCCTCACACAGATACTCCCTCACACACAAAGGCATCTGCATACCTGTGTTTACTTTGGGACAGCTCCTAAGAAATGGCTGAGTAGAAGAGTTTTGCCATCAAGGGGACCTGGCCATCTCCCTGGATAAAAACGGGATGTCCTTACTACAGGTAGCGGCACATGCCTATAATCCAGCATTTGTGAGGTAGAGGCAGGAGAATCAGGATTTCAAGGTTCGCCTTGGATACACACCAAGTTTAAGGCCAGCCTGGACTACATGAGAGCCTATCACCTCTCTCACCCACCCATTCCCCCCTCCCCCACCAAAAAAGAAGAAAAAGATGGGGGGCACTGTTAATTTCTTCTCTCTCTTCTCTGATCACTGAAAGCAAAGTCTAGAAAGGCCCCAAACGTGAGCACATGCATGCCTTCAGCAAAACGAAGGTGAAAAAGGAGAAGCCGCCTCACACCACAACTCGGCAGGCTCAGCTGGTTCCTCCCCAGCAAGATGGTTTCCATATTCCTCTCAAGCTCTCTATCATGGAGGCAATGTCACGGTCTCTGGTCTTAGTGCTCAGGGCCACCCCAGGGTTCTGAATCCAACAGAAAATGTGCCTTCCTTCAGTGTCTGGGGCAGGAATGGAGGCCCCTTTGCATGACCTCATGAAGCACTTTTGTGGGCATTTTAAAGCAATCTGGAGAAAGTATCTTCTCTACCTGTTATATAGGTTTTATGAGAACTTCAGTGAGATAGATGGGATAAAGGCTTATGTTTGCCATTTGTACTTCTGTATTGGAAATTTATAATAAAAATATTCTATTTGAGAAAGCATACTTGTGACTGTGTGTGTGTGTGTGTGTGTGTGTGTGTGTGTGTGTGTGTGTGTTAAGGTGTTTGGAAGTAGACAGATAGGCCATGACTTTCTCATGTAAGAGAAGCTGCCCTGTAATGTGGTGTCCCCTCGGGCTTCCAGATGGCTAAGCCTTGGCCTCATAGGCTCAGGCTTCAGCAGGGACCAAGTGGAGACAAGGGTATCCATCAGCTCCAGAAAACTGCTTCCTCCACCAGCCTGAGCCTTTCCTAGGTTATACCATGTTCTAGGTCCTGGTCCTGCTGGTTGTATGTAGTGCCAGGGATTGAACCTAGGGTCCACGTTAAGCAAACTTTGTATCATCTAAACTGTATCTCAGACCACTGTCTAGACCTTGATTATGGCGTTACACACATCTATGTATGTGATTGGATGGCTAAGTGCTACACACACACAATACTGATGTTACATTTGAGGTCTTCAGATTGCCCTACAGTTATATCCCATGGTGCACTGGGTTATATCCCATGGTGTACTGGGTTAGAGACCTTGTGAAGAGTGTAAGAACTCCGATTACCTTTCCAACTTGCTGAAGATCTATAATTATCTCAGGATAGAAAGTCCTAGAGCTAGTTGAGATGGAATGCCCCTAATCTCAACTAGGAAACACAACAAGACTGTCAAAAAAAGGTTTTAAAAATTAACTTTTTTTCTCCCCCTGAGACGGGGTTTCTCTGTGTAACAGCCCTGACTGGCTGTCCTGGAACCAGGTTGGCCTTGAACTCACAGAGATCTGCCTGCCTCTGCCTCCCAAGTGCTGGAACTAAAGGCATGTGCCACTGTGCCCAGCTCCCAGAAACTTGATTTTTTTGTTGTTGTTGTTGAGGAGCTGCTTGTTTGAGGACCAGGCCAAGACAGAATATACAAGCTAGTCATGCTCTGTTGTAAAGGAAATTAGACCCCAGAAGAATAATCAAGATGCAAATGCAGGAAAGCCAGAACCACTCAGAACCCAGATGATAGAGCTCTGGACAGCGGGGATGCTGGCTGGACCAAAGGCAGCAGCATATCCCACATACCCTACAGAAGACAGGACTCTCAAAGGTGGTGGTGGGAGGGGGGGCAGGGAAAACCCTAACATGGGAGAAGCAGTATGGGAAAGATCTCAGGGATACTGCAAATGAGAGGCACCTGTAGGATGGAGAATGGGATGGTCAGATAAGACCTTTGGGGCTCAGCAGAGATGACTGGGGCCATGGATCTCAGTCTGCGGCAGGGCCCTAGCTCAGGTCTGGGCGGGAAGGTGTGCTAGACTGAAGTATGTTAGGAGGAGCTGGGTAGTGACTACCTGTAAGGTGGATTAGGCAGGTGGAAAAACAGGGTTGTAATGTCTGCTTCAGGAATCTGCTTGAAGAAAGATGAGAAAGGAAGTGGTGGTGAGCTGGCAAGGAGTGACTCTGGTCTCCACACTTCCTCTTTCCTCGGATCAAACCCCACTGGGCTCACTCTAGTATATTCTATGTCACAGCACATCTCAATTTTGAGCAGCCACATTTCAAAGTGCTCAATTGCTACATGAGGCTGGCTGACTTTTTGACTTAATCTATTTTTTTAGATTTTTATTTTATGTATATAAGTGTTTTGTCTGCATGTATGTATGTGTACCACATGCATGCCTGATGTACACAGAGGCCAGAAGAGGACACTGAAACCTTGGAACTGGAGTTATAAATGGTTATGAGCCACCACGTGGGTGCTGGGAACTGAACTTGGGTCCTTTCCAAGAGCAACAAGTGCTCTTAACCACTGGGCCAATTTTCCAGCCCAGAATCCCAGTACCTGGGAGTCCTTAGGTATATACCCAAGAGTGATAGAGCTGGGTAGGACACTTCATGTAAATTTCCATAGTGGCAGCTGGGCGGTGGTGGCGCACGCCTTTAATCCCAGCACTTGGGAGGCAGAGGCAGGCGGGTCTCTGTGAGTTCGAGGCCAGCCTGGTCTCCAAAGCGAGTTCCAGGAAAGGTGCAAAGCTACACAGAGAAACCCTGTCTCGAAAAAACCAAAAAAAAAAAAAAAAAAAAAAAATTTCCATAGTGGCTGCACCAGTTTACATGCTCATTAGCAATAAATAAGTGTTCTCTTTCTCCACAGAAATTTTTTGGTGTGTGTGTGTGTGTGTGTGTGTGTGTGATTTTGCCTGTATGTATGTCTGTGCACCATATAATGCATTTCTCATGGAGGTGAGAAGAGGAGAAGAGGTCATCAGATTTTCTGGAACTGGAGTTACAGGTGAACCCTCATGTGGGTATCTGAATCCTCTGGAAGAGCAGCCCACACTCATAACTGCTGAGCTGTCTCTCCAGCCCTAATTCTTTTTATTCAGTGCAGAACTATGAAATGGTGCTGTCTGTACTCGGGGTAGGTCTTCCAACCTCTGTTAGGCTTCTTTGGAAATGCCCTCACAGACATACCCAGAGGGTTTTCTTCTAGGTGAGTCTTAAGTCCCAGCAAGGTGCCACTCAAGATTAACCATCACACCTGCTGAAGAGCAGGGCCCGATGGGTTAGTTCTAGAGGGGGACCTGAGAAGTCTTAAGTCTTTTGACTTTATTTTAGTGTGTGATATATGTGTGATGGTTTGAATGAGAGTGACTCCCACAGGCTCATATATTTGAATGCATGTTCCCTAGTTGGTGGAACTGTTTGGGAAGGGTAAGGGATGGGGCCTTGTTGGAGGAGATATGTCACTGGGAGGCAGACTCTGAGGTTTCAAAAGCCCATGTCATTCCCAGTCAGCTCTCTCCTTCTGCCTCGCTTGCAGATAAGGATGCAATCTCTCAGCTACTGCTCCAGCCCCATGTCTGCCTGCCCGCTGCCATGCTTGCTGCCGTGACGGTCATGGACTCACCCTGTGAAACTGTAATCCAGCCCCCAATAAACTTTCTCCTCTAAGTTGCTTTGGTCATGGTGTTTCTTCACAGCAATAGAAAAGTAACTGAGACAGTCTGTGTACACATTTGTGCACAGGAGCACGTGCATGTGGAGGTCAGAGGTCAATGTCAGGTGTCTCCTTCAGTAGAACCTGGAGATCACCAATCTGGCTAGACTGGCTAGCAAGTCCCAGGATTTCTTTTCATCTTAAAAAAAATGGCAGGGAGTTGGAGAGGGATGGTTCAACAGTACTCACATGGTGGCTCACAACTATCTACAATTCCAGTTTCAGCCGATCTAATACTTATTTCTGGCCTGTGTGGATACTAGGCACACATGAAGTGCACAGAAATATCATGCCACCAAAACACTCACACACACACACACACACAAATTTTTTTAAATTATTTTTTAAAAAATAGAAAACCAGTGATTTCATATGTCTTTGCTTCCTGACTGTGGACATAATATTACCAGTTGCTGTTGAAATCTAACTTTAAGACATGGTGGTCCAGGCCGGGCGGTGGTGGCGCACGCCTTTAATCCCAGCACTCGGGAGGCAGAGGCAGGCAGATCTCTGTGAGTTCGAGGCCAGCCTGGTCTCCAAAGCGAGTTCCAGGAAAGGCGCAAAGCTACACAGAGAAACCCTGTCTCGAAAAACCAAAAAAAAAAAAAAAAAAAAAAAAAAAAGACATGGTGGTCCGATAAAATACAGGAGGTTATTCCAATGTTTTTGTATCTGTTGAGATTTGCTTTGTTACCGAGCATGTGTCAATTTTTAAGAAGTTTCCATGGGGTGCTGAGAAGAAGGTATATTCTTTTGTGTTAGGGTGGAATGTTCTGTAGGTCCATTTGAGTCATAAAGTCCGTGTTGCTCCTCACCAACCTATCCCATTTCTATGTGAATCAAATAGGAGCCTCCATTTTTTTTTTAATCTGTTTTTTTTTTTTTTCAGCAGTTTCTTTTTTTTTCAAGACAGGGTTTCTCTGTGTAGTTTTGGTGCCTGTCTTGGATCTCGCTCTGTAGACCAGGCTGGCCTCGCAAGTGCTGGGATTAAAGGTGTGCACTCTGGACAACCTTTTTAAAAGATTCTATTACCAGTGGCTTCCCTTTACTATTACTCTTTCCCCGCCACGAGACTGTACCTTTAAGGAATGGGCCAAATCAGCCCTTCCTGCTGGGGACATAGCTCAGTGGCAGAGCTTGATTGAACAGCATGCATGAGCTCCTCTGTTCACTCTCCAGTATCAGTATGGGGTTGAACAGAGAGGGGATTTCCTTTTCAGGTTGCCGTTTTCAGGAATTTTATCACAGCACTGAGAAAAAGCAGCAGTATACTTCTCAGTGATGCAAGGTTGAGAAGCTCTGACCCATACATCAGAATCAACACTCTTCTTCAGGCTGTGTGCTATGATTTCCCTCAACATTAGCTCCTGCCTTCCAAGGACATGACTCAGCCAAGTCATATCCCTAACCCGAGTCAGGCAAGCCTTTGGGAGATCCCAGTGTGCAGAGTGAAAAGGGCTGAGTTCTGGGGCCATGGTGGAGCATGGACTTGTGAAATGGAGGCAAGCTGATGGCGGTATGTGGGATCCTGCAGCAAGTGTTGCTGCTAGAGTTTTCAGACATATAAGCCAGCAGAGCTCTGCTTGTTTAAACTAGGCTGTGTGCAAATCATCTTGCATTTTCTCTGTATCTCTTCCCTAGTCCTCCACTAGGCTCTGTGTCTCAAGATACCGACCTTGGAGGATTGCTTCAGGCAGCTCCCCTGGTTTTCTGGTTTGCTGATGGCCAGCACCAACAGATTCAAAAGTAAGAGGAGAATGCAGGGGTATTCACATAGCCCGTGGCTCTCCTATCTAGGGGCTAGTGATGCCTGGTCTTTACCTTCAGGTAGCCTTTCCTGCACCTGCCCTTCTACTTCTGCTGGTCCTCATCCCATGACCATCTGGGGATTCTCCAGAGTAGCTAGCTTGGAAAGACTACACTAGTCCCTTATCTTCCTTCATTCAGCCTGTGCCCCAGCAAACAGCTCCCTCGCCAAACTATTCTCAAGTTGTCCACTTGGACGGTTGTACCAGGCTCTTTC